GTTTGTGGTGGGGTCCCCTCCAGCAGAGGGGGTGAGGCTAATGGTGATGGTTGTGAAGGGGGACAAGGAACTTGTGATGGAGATCCCTCCGGTAGCGGTGGGGGTGTTGGCAGGGGCGAGGGGGGAAACGGGGGAGGGGTGTTCGGAAGCGGCGGGTTTGGGTGTTGTGTTGTGTGGTCGGGGTTCCCTATCTGATCCGGTTGGACACAGTGAGGTGAGGGGGCTACCAGAGCTGGCTGACTTGGTGATTGTCGGTGACATGAAGGTAGCGTTTTCCAATGCCATCTGCGTTCCTCCATCCACCAAGGTTTCCATATGAGGTTCTGGTCCCCATCTAACAAAGCAATCTTTTGGGCTGGATCAAGCCATTCCTGTTTGAAGGTGTTGATGAATTCTGCAATTTTGGTTTGATCAGTAGTAGATGTAAGTTTTTGTTTGAGGCTTCTCCAGTCCTTTTGAGTGTTGATCCTTATTGTTTCTACAACATGGTGTATGGCTTGGATGTAGCCAAAGGTGTGTTCTTTCCTTTCGTGGGAACAACGAGCCCCCCATACTATAACCATCAACACTTCGAACGTTGTGAATTTAAAGAGGTTGGATTGGAAGAGCAACCATGCAACCCTGGAGGATGGGGATTGGTCCAACAGAAGTACAGCCGGGGTGATCTCCCGAGGATGATTCCTTTCGGCCGCTGGCGGCCATTTTCATAATTTTATAGTCAGCCGGAGGGGGGGGGAATGCCTTGGTCCATTGGGCGATATCCGTCTTGCTACGGTGTGGTCCAGCTGCCGAAGGCGGAATATTTTGAAAGGCGCTGGCGACCGAAAACATAATAACCCTTGAAAAGCAATGGACCTCCCCGGTCAAAAATCAAATTTCAAATTGGGTGTCGGACGTCACGATGGCGACGCGGGGCAGGTGGCATCCATATCTGTGATGGTGGAAACGGGCATTTGCAGCGACGTAGTGAAGTCCTCGTATGCCGTCACGAATTTGTGAGTGCCCTGCGAAGGTCCATCGCCATCGCCTTTGCATGCCGCCGCGCCTATGTGTTGAGTCGAGCACACGCGGGGAACATCACCGGGGACTTGGCGCTGAGGTGGCATCCATATCTGTGACGGTGGAAATGGGCATTTGCAGCAGTGCAGTGAAGTCCTCGTACGTCATCACGAATTTGTGACTGCCCCACGAAGGTCCATCACCATCGCCTTTGCATGCCGCCGAGCCTATGTGTTGAGTCGAGCACACGCGGGGAACTTCATCGGCGACTTGGCGCTGAGGTTACCGTGGTCGTGCCGAGTTGGTAGGCTGTTGTATTTTCCTGGTTCATGAGCATTGCAACACACGTGCCGATGGAGGGCGGCAGCGACGACAGACGTGCGAAGTTGACGACAATCGAGAAGACGGTCGTGGCGGCGTCTGTGACGGCCGTGCTCTTTCGTTGTCAGCAGGAGAGGGCATTGGGCAGAATGAGAATGCAGATCGCGCGCGGAGAGGAAGACGCTTCATCAAGTCCCTGTCGAAGGGCTGGATACCGTGACCATCACCGAGGCTGCGGTTCAGGTTTGCTGCACTATGGGTTGCAGTGTTCTTCCACGAGCGACGTCGAGGTGGTGGATGAAAAGGAGGCGGTGTGGGAAGATCTCAGGCAATGCGATGATGGGACGGAGGAGTACTTCTGAGAGAAGATGTGTATGTCGCCACGTGTCTTTCACGCGATGGCGATTGCATCCAGTGTGGACGAATGCCCGCGGGATGCGCTGCCGATGTCGATGTCGACTGCAGTCGGTGTCGATCCCTCATCTTCTCTATTGGAGGCCTTCGATAGAGGTCAGCCATCAACGATAGAGGAAGCATACGTGGAACAAGAGGACCACAACAAACAAAATTGGGACTAGGAGCAGCCGTGGCAACCTTCAATAGAGGTCGGCCATCAACAACACGTACGAAAGGGCTGTAATTCTACGACGACAGTGAAGGTCCACCGAACGGCGACGATGAAGGGACCAAACGGACAGCATACAACACACACACTCTACTGGGTCGTACTCCCTTGCACAACGAGCTGGGCCACGGCCTGCGCGGTGGCTTCTAGAGTGGTCCACTAGAGACCTGCTCTTCGCCTGCCACCCGTCCATGCTGGCGTCCTTCTTTGCAGACCGGATCTTACATGTACATCCAAGCACCCGTTCGAGGATGCAGACGTGGAAGAAGATGACAAGGACAAGCAAAAGGATGACCAGGAGCAGCAGCGGCAGCCTTCGAAAGACGTCGGTCATGAAAGGCAAGTGGGGAAGGGCAGTAGCTAGACGACGACGGTACACTTCCAGCAAACGGCGACGAAGAGGACCGCACAAGGCAGACCGCAGCATGGGACAAACACTTTGTAACGTTTTTCGTCGCGGAATACAATGGGCAATTGGAGCAAGGGGGGTCGGCTAAAGTACTCAAATTTGCCGACCGTTCAACCCCTTTCCGTTTGGCAGCACGCACTGCAAGGGAGAACACTGACCGACGGCGTCCGCGGGGGCCGGCCTCCCACCAACGGTTACCGTTGGCATAAGGTTCCTGGAAGCCGAACGTTGAAGACCCAAGATGTCCGTGCACTTCCCGGTAGGAACTCCAATGGACCACCCGATGAAAATTTCTTGCCGACGACGGGTGCCCTTGCCGCTCCGATTATTGCAGATCCTTGACCTCCAAGGGACCTCGGGAGTTCCCTTGGGGAATGCCACCAAATGGTTGTAGCCCGAGGATGCCCCGAGGATTCCTCAAGGAAATGTTTTCACTTTTTTTTTTCGTTTTCATCCCCCAGGATAGGTGGTGCAAAATTTTCCTTGGGGGATTTACGTGCCCGAGGAGTGTCTAACAAGCCCCTAACACACACAGTAGATGACCAACGAGCCGGAACAGGAAGATTCTTGATAAGAGACGAATCGGATGAGATGATGAGGAGCGAGTGATAGATATAGGAAAAGGTGTACTGATAACACAAGAATAGAGTATAGGTACTGAGATTAAAGCACCAGTACATGGGCACATGGGCCATGGGTCTGACACCTCAAATTCTGGAGGGCCTGGTGCGAAACGAAAACGAGGCCGCCAATTGATTCCCCCCCCCCCCCCCCCCCCCCCCCCCCCACCACCAACTAACGATACCACGCTCCTCATTGAACCCCTTCCATATTCATCTCCCGTGGTCCACCATTCATGTTCTATTTCCTGTTCCATTCATTTTCTCCGCAGTCAAATTGACAACGGGAAAAATTCCATTTGTCAAATAATTCGCAAATCTCTCAAGGTAGTGAACTTCCATTTACATTCAATTTGCACACTCCATACATTCACAAATAATCCACACTCGCACATGCTCACAAACGCAACAGCTGGGGGTACATCTATATTATATACATAGCTCCTTTCTCTGTAGACGAGCAGATATTCCATCCTCCATTACGAGGTTCGCTATGCAATAACACAAGCAATAACACTCCCCCCTGCCATCATCAAGACCGACATGACAGCCAAATTGATTATCTGCTGCCGATTCCAAAGACAGCAATTACAAATTGAATTGAATTCTTCCCAAAGACGACGAAAAGTACATCCCAACGGAGAGAATCTCCTCATACCCCCCGTCTCTCTCTCTCTCTCTCTCTCTCTCTCTCTCTCTCTCTCTCTCTCT